CTCTACATGTCCTTCCATTGCGTGTGGTGGGGGAATAATATCTTCATCTGAATCCCATACATCCATTCCAAGGTTACTAAGAGGAATAAAAACATCTCACATAAGCTTCCTTTTTTTAAAACGTATCATTGAGAGAGTAAAAAACCCACATAAAATTCTTCAGTTTCGAATGACAGAAATTTTTATATGTTAAGTTAAATTTACAGACATTCATAACTTAGCAAATTTTAATCTTGTAAATTTATTTGGGGAAGGGCTCCAGGGAAAGCAAAGAGAATACCTAAACTTCATAAGCTTGGAACAACATCCTAAAGGATGTGAGACAAGCACCATACCCATTCAAAAATCTGACACAGGACTAACTTAATTATGCACAGACTATAAAACAATGATAGCAGTAAAACAAAGGGCATTCAATTAAACTAAAAAGACGCAAATCAGTCAGGTATTATTTTAAAATCAATCTACTGCTACAAGGTATCATTCGCACAAATAACTTGGGAAGATGTAAAGGTTAGCTGTTCTTAGGTGAATATGATAAGCATAAAATTCTTACACATCAGGGATACAACTACTATGAACACAGGAGTTGAGAACATTCTTCCACCTTCCCATACTTTTTTATTCCTAAAACTGTCGTACTTTTTTTTTTTAAAGTATCTGGTTCTATCATGCCAACAGCAGGCAGATCATAGACCTTACAAAGAAATCTTTGCAGTGGCTCCTTTCAGCTTATAAAGAAAGAATACAGACTCAATACACTTGTCATAGTATGATAAAACCACACCAACGTTCAATAGTAGTTGTCAGGTTAAAAAGATCTTTTGAACTATATAAATTCAAAAGATGAACAAAGGAAGTACACTGCACGTCATGTTAGTCATATCAGAAGTCTTACAATATATGTATAGTTGCATATTAAAAGTTTAAGAGAGGGTTAATTTTGGCTTATGACTGGAAGTGAACTTTTCAAAATACCAGTAGACATACTGGAAAATCTTACCCATACAACTAAAAGCTTTTGTTTACCTTCTCATTGGTTGTGTTCTGAGATCTGTGAGATACACAAGACCATCCATGCGATGACCTCTAGCATCGCCAAAAGCTGAAGAAAAAAAAGACACAAATCTAATGAAATGTGCTCAAACTGAGCCACAAAAATGTGAAAGGCAAGTTTCTGTTCACCATGAGATTCTGAATTTGAAACAATTCTAACCTGGTATTAAATACTTCAGCAAGCTGGCAATATTGCAGCATTTTTTCTAAACAACTGAAACTAGTAGTGGTAGCAACCTATGACTGAAAACCCCCTTCAAAGCAAAAGGAAAAAAAAAAAAGATTTTAAGCAGCTGAAACATACTCCTACTATGCTGTCAATTTGCTAATGCTGAAGCCTTGCCTGGAATAGAATCAACAGTCAGAAAATCTTCTGTGGAAGCCAGCAAATGAAATAACTCTAAGGATACTAAAATAGAATCGTAGTATTTGTGAATACAATTGTAGTAATTGTGAATTACAATCTAACGTGTGCCTCCGTTCAAACTGTATAAATACCTTGGATTGCTGCCTCTGGATCCCAGCCTTCAACATCTATAAGGTATCTGAAGAAAAATATGATTAGATTATTGTCCCAAAGGGATTACAGATTAATGTAAGGACACTATCTTTTGTGAACAATGATTTCTGTTTTTATACAACCCTTACCTACATATAAGGTAGCCAGTTCTATTGATTCCATTAGTACAGTGAACGCCAATGAGTTTGTCTATCAAAAAGGAAAACAGAGTCTTTAATAGTTCAGAATGTGAAATTACTAAAAAATTAGTGCAAGACAAAAAAAAAAGCTGTACTTTTCTAGCAAAGTAATGACATAATGCTTGCTATTTACAAAATTATACTGTCACGCCTGTAAACGAACAGACACATCCAGACTTTGTCCTCTTCGTGCTGGATCTCTAGCAGAGTTAGCTCACTACTTCCAAACCTGTGAAGACTGAGATTAACTCTGCCACTCTTTCTTAACGTAGGAAAAAAGAAAGACGAGTAAGGTAAAGGTAAAGGTAAGGTAAAGGTAAAGTATCAGAACTGCAGAAACAGCAGAAAAAGAATAAAATACAGTTTTGAAAGCAAATCTAAACAAGCAAATGTAAAATTGAGGAACTTAACTTACAGATTCTCATAAAACCTACCAAAAGGAGAAAATAAACATAATAGCCCAGTGTCTAGGAATATGAAATACATTACTAGAAGAATTCATTTAACTGGACTAAAAATTTGGATCATTACTGGGATGAACCATAGAGATGAGGAATTTAGGTTCATGCATGGAGGAAAGAAGCACTCTAATGGGAACCAGTAACCTCTAAAGAAATCTTGTCTTTTTTGGAAAGCTTATACTAATCAGCTAAAGTCTAAAAAGCAGAATAACTTACTATTATTAGGGTGTTTCAAATGAGGTATTTCCAACAGAAATAGGGAAACACTAATATGGTCATGCAAGGCACTGATAAAACCTCATCCAGACTATTCCATACAATTCTAATTACCTATATTTAATGAAAAAAAAAATGAAATATGTATAGAAAGGGCTACTATAATGGTCACAAAAAAAGTTTGAGACAGGGCCTAGGAGGCTTGTCTTATTTAGTCTGTAAAACCAAATCTGAGATACTGAATATAATAATGGGCATGGAGAACAACAATACTTAAGGGCAAAGTTGGCATAAGAATAAACGGGTATTAACTGATTGAGAGTTTTAGGCTAGATTTTAGATGAAAAACTTTAATCATCAGAAGAACAAAGTTGTGGCAGAGACAAAGTACTGACAGTGTCTTTGAAATGGGACCTTGATAAGTTTTTGAATGAGATAAAATACAGCTGTATGCCACAGAACAGGACAGTCACATTGCAATGTAAGCTTATTACAAGTTGGTGTCTTAACTATTCAGACACTAAAAAAACCCCAACTTCTCAAATATTTTATTTAAGAACAATCCTGAGAAATTTTAGGGGTAGTCTAAAACAGAGGGCAAGTTACAGATGAGTAAGTTAATATAAAAATGAAAGTTCTCCCAACTCTGAAGTTACATAAACCCTGCCAAAATGGTCTTACTAGCTGAAACTGCAGGTCTTCATCCAGTAACAAATTAGGAATTGATTCTCTCAATTCTGAGAATCAGAAATAATTAGATTCAAATACAAACTGTTCTTTGTCACACGAAAAATCACTAGATCAAAACTAGAAGAAAACTAGTAGTTTCCAAGTAATTTCCCTAAGCCAAAAAAGAGCGAAGGAAGAACTTACACACTAACTTCCTAAGCAAGGACAAAGGCTTCTTCTTACACCTTTTAATTTTCACAGCACTTTTAATTCAGGCTCTCATACCTGAGATTTAGGTCAGAGCTCTTTCACAAAACAGAGTTGACCATCCACAGCAAAACCACGGTTATGCTCTGCAGCAAAAACTGTATGCACTTGGGCAGTTAATATCTCTACTTTCTCACAGAAAATGCCAAAGTAACCACAGCAAATAGCATGAAAAAGCTTGAGAGACTGGTCCTTCAATATTGGGTAGACAAACAGTTGAAATCTGCCCACAAAGAATCACTAGCAAAAAAAGTGAGAAGGTAAAACCTGCAAACAGGCTGTGGCAAAATACACGCAAATTTATTTCCACAAAAAGCGCCTTATACCATCTCAGCAAGAAGTGTATTATTGCATAAACACTGAAACAGCAGCAGATCTACACTGTGGAAACATTGACACTGTGTCTGTAATATCATTTTTAAGAATTGCTAGGATATGAGGGCAATAATGGACTCAAATCAAAAAACCGCTACGTCAGACTAAACTGACTTAAGTTGCTCACATGTATCAGCGCCTATTGCCATCAGAGAAACTCTGTGCTATTTAGAACATCCATAAGGGGCTGGCAGCTACAACACTAAGCTGATGGTAGACAACCTGGGTCAGACAGATGAAAGCCTTGTTGCAGTTGCTTTGACACATAACGCAAATATAATACTATTAGGAAGGACATTTAAGTTACTAGTCATTTTTGAAAAAGACATGTATTGAATACAAAGAAGATATGTAGTGCTTCACATAACGTATCTTATTATGATAGCAAAGTGGAAAGTGCTGTGGAAGGTCTGACATCCCTGGTGTCTAAAATATCTATTGAAATTAATTAAATTATACAGTTAGCTCTGAAACAAAATTTTTGTTTTTTTACAGCATAAGATGCTGATATTTACCATTTCCCGCATTTTCCCACAGGAATTTTCTGACCCATTTTTTGAACTGTAGGATAGTAGCATTATCGGGGACTTCAAGTCCAACAGTATAAAGTTTCTTATACTGCACACTTTTAGGTAAATCCTAGCAACAAGAAGAAAAAAAAATAATAAAAATTATTGAAGTCTTGCACAATGAAAAACCTTAAGCAGTATCTAACATAATGCCAATGTAAAACAATAGTTCAAATCCTGAATAGAAACTGAAAACAATCTTGACACAATTCTATAGAGATACACTCTCAGAAACTACCATTTACATTTCCACTTTAAAGACCTGATCTCAAACAAAGAACAGTTTCAACAGAAGACTTATTTCCCTCTGCTAATAAGGCAGCACATTAACTAGAGACCAGATTCTTGTAACTCCATTCTAACCCATTTTAGAATTATTAGCAATATTTGTCCCTCCCACCCACAATCATATATATACTCACATATTCACCCCCTTAATGCTTACAGCCCAGGTACGTTCAAAGATTAACATCATTATCACACTGCTATTTATTCTCCTTTTCAATAGGAGGCTGATTAATCACAATTGTTTGGACCTTATTGGTAAAAAATTTTAAATTAATGAAGTAGTTTAAAAATGTACACTTTTTTAGTGGATTCCACTAAAGATCAGTAAAAAAAGACCCTAGGAATAAATGAGAATGTCTTCAGGGCAAGACTGTAAGCCTTCTGCATCTTTTCTGTGGTGCCTGGCACTGAAGTCTGTACCCATTATTCTGAGTTACCATAATACAAATAAGCCACAAATGCAACTAGGTGGGAGGAGGAGTTATTTCCCCTGTGATAAAGCATTTAGTTTCTATTTGAGACACAAAATAAGTCTAGATGGCTCACTTGTCTATTCCAATTCAAGGTAAGCAAATGCGTAAATACTTTAGAACAGAGGTTGCAGTAACTAGCTGATTTTGTTATTATGCTTATATTACCTTAACTTCATAGTATCGCGTGGTATATGTTAAATCAATAATTAATCCAAGCTCCACATTTAGGGCTTTCATTGCAGCAATTAAGTCTTTTGGTGTAAATTTCTGGGTTGGGGTAAGCCTCTGGTTAATTGCCTACAATGAAAATGGAAGAGAAAGATTCTCTTTTTAAGTTAAAGTAATACGACATTTGTAATATTCAGCTTTTTTAATTAGGACTAGGAAACATCAGTATTCAAAAGGGAATGTTTACAGTATCAGAACTATATTCATGTATTATACGGTTAAAAATTAAAAGAAGCCAAATAAAAGAAAGCAAGAATTTGTTGTGTATTCCTATTCAGATGAAAATGCAAGAAAGCATGTGAGAATTTCCACTTGTACAATGTTAACAAACATTATTAAAATAAGCACTAATTTGATAGACACAAAGATCCTGCAAGATGCAGCATGTATATACTGATTTTTAAGTAACTAAACATCAGCAAAAAGTAAAACACCACAATCCCCTTTCCCCCAAACATACTTTGTCCTGCACAACACCACAAAATTAACAGTGTATTTCACATAAAACATTAGAAGTTGTGATACAAGAGTTCATTTCTTCTAAAGGTTTTAACTTTCACCCCACAAATGTTGTGCAGACATTTTTATCCCTGCTTCATCTCTTGGCAGACTGTACTTGCATGTCCTTTAGCATTGGGAAATATTAAATAAGACTAAAATACGGTGACTAAGAAAGCTGCATGTTGGTGGGTAATGAATAATTAATTTCATTTGACAGAAAGAGTGGGAAAAATTGTTTACTCACCCTATTGTAGCTGTGCTTTTTGAAATGTGTTCTTCACTCTAGGTATGAAAATGCCTCATACACGCAAGACTGGATTTTTTCTGAATAGTGTGCTTGTCCATTGTGAGAGCCTTTTGACACAGGCTCAGCCACAAACAATAAAGACCGAGGCAAAAGATGCAGCAGCCTCAACCACCTCTCAGTTCCTTTGTCAACAAGAAATTCAAGCAGACTGGACTCAGAACTAATGGAAAGGAAGGCAGCCACAGACCACACACCTCTTAGAACCACAGATGCTATAGTGTAATTAACCATTCCTTCTTTTGATTGTACGGATTATGATCTAAGATGCTATCAAGCACTTATCTCGAGTCTGGAAACAGACACAGGAAACCAAATTAAAGAATAAACAGCAGGACAGTCCTATCAAAGCTGGTATGTGATTAGGAAGCTTGAGCTAAAAAGAGTAGGGTAGAAAGCTTATAGAAGTATTCAGTCCTATGTATTTCAGATACTGGTGCACTGCTGAAAAAACAATGGAAGTTGTTGAGGTTCAAACAAAAGGAACAAGAGTCAGTTATCTCACTGCTATTCAGCAGTGATTTTTGGTAAAATCTGAAACTGAACTTAACTAACTTTGAGGTGACAACAGTAAATCTGCAAGAGGTCTACGACAGAACGTTAAAGAATTTTTTCTTTTACTATGTGAAGTCACACAAACTGAGGTGGAACACAATTTCTGAAATAAGATATGTCTAAACATATTGCTTGATTGACTAAACAGTTAAACGTGTTATGAAAGACTATGTTTTGAAAGACTATGTTTTGAATTTTCTGAAAAAGTCCTGCTGAGTATTCAGTAGGTTAGGTGTTTAATTGGGCTCTGAGAATGTGAGAAATCTGTATCAATTCTAAAATCCTTCTATGGCATGGGAAAGAACTTGCCCAGCCCTTACTATACTACAGTGTTACTGTTAGCATTACAGTGATGATCCGAAAGGAAGGACAGAAAACCCTTCCAAGTAAACCCATGACCTTAAAGCCTTTACTAGCAGCACATCTTCTGCCAAAACAATAACCCTCAAGTCTTGAAATACTGAAAATATGCTTTCTGCCTTTGGGTTAAATCACTAATCATCAATTTCATAATAGGTAGCAAAGAAGGAAACTGCTGTATATTTAAGAGGTCTGTTCCACCAATTTAATAATAGACTTCTGACAAGACTATGACCAATCAGGTCTTCAGCGTTTCCAGACACATTTACTGACCTCCACCTTCTTTGCAAAGACATCACAGCTTAGCCAGTTACGCATTTGATGTGTATTCTGCCACAAACTCCATGAGCTTCAAGCACAGTCTCTGGCAGACTTGTGATTTCTGTATCTTGCATAGTTGAGACTGAACAAACCGAAGGTACAGAAATGTTAGAGATTTTGCTTTCTTGGGTACCAGACTTTCTATCTGGCCAAGTTCACAGAACAGGGATCTATGCCCCAGTGAGATCAGTAGGACTCAAAGTGAGCAACACGCTGAAGTAGAGTGCCTACTTGTGATACATAAACTTTCTCTGAGAATGTCTGCCCTTTTTATGATCTCTGGTGGAGCTCCTTCCAGACTATCACAGGAGCTACAGGGGAAGAGTGAAGTTAGCAACGAACTATCTTCAGTGGCAGGGACAGGGAACTCGAAATACACGCACTGCACAAATCCTGCCTAGAATAGTGCAAAAAACTGGTGCTGGATCAAGTGGAATTACAGGAGCTGATGATGCAAAAATCCCCTCTCAAATACCTCAATAGCAAAGAAGCCAATTATAAATCTACTGAATTTTATATTCACTGCTAGATCCGTCCACTGGCCGTCTTTGGTAGAAAGACACACGGCTATTGTACTATCCATCAGTACCATGAAGAACATGACCAATGTCACGTATGAGATCCTTGGTGCCAAAGGAACCAAACCATCACACTAAATCTGTAAAAGCAGCTGCAGGAAGCAAACCCTGCAAGCATCCCACTTCAGTCATTGCTGATAAAAGCGAACTGAATGGTGACTGAAAACGTAATGGGCAATAGTATACCCAAAGAACCACATTTTTTGTATATGAGTACTAGAGTGCCATCTGTAGACTACGGCTTAGACGGAATATTTACTCTTAACTGCTAAGGTCATGTCTAGCCACTGAACTTTAAAAGAGCTTAGAAACTTCCTGTGTATCTGAAGCAAGGACTTGTAAGAGTTAATTTATACAGCACTTGTGTTAATTTATACAGAAGGGCAAATTTGCTCTATTTGCTCTACGCCTCAATCCACCAAAGAACTGAAGAGTCTGAAAAAGACAGCCTCCACATTTTGTATTGTCACAAAGAATTAAAAGATCTGATGCAGTGTATTTAATAGATTAAGATTGCACTCCTTGTTAGTAAGAATGTAAAGGAAGTACTAAGACATTAATAAAGGAAATCTATAGAGACTTACGTTTTAAATATACTGCATTCCTCCAGATCACTGACGCTTTTTGCTTATGAAACTGGTAATCTGAATCTATAATTTTAAAAGTACTGCAGTGGCTGGTATCCTTTAATAAGTGCTTTGATTTCTGTAAAATTGTATTTTGGCTTACATAGATTGTTATTCATATCATAATCCCTTCCATATGATTTTCTTACAACAGGCATGAAAAGATGTTAGATAAGAGAATGAATTTAGGCCACTTAATAGTGATCAAATGAATCATGCTGATTGGTTAGAGATTTTATGATTTTAAAAAGATAAATAAAAAGACTAACACCAAATACAAATTTTAAAAGAAAGAGAAAAAATATAGAATATTATGTAAAAAAGCCACTAGTAGATGACTGGAAGGGCTAAATCTGAATAAATTATTTTTTCATAAAACTTTTCTGAAGTTTGCATGAATATTCACACTAGTCTTCATTACTTTTGCACTGTATCTAATAGAGCCAATCTGTAGTTGCTTTTTATACATACCCCTTTTAAAGGTACTTTGAATGCAATAAATCTAGTTCCTGGTATAGGCTGTCCAACTGGTGTCAAACTCCGCCATCTGTAATGAAACAAATATTTATTTTTAAATATTTTCAAATGACATGATTCAACACAAGACACCCGCACCTTCATGTAAAACGTCTAAAAAAAAAGTTCCTCTTTGGCAAAACAAAGCACATAAAAATTATACTCCTTTAAAATTATAGTAACTGACTTCAAATTCTGGGAAGTATCTTAAAAATATCAGGCAAATCTGGTGCCATATTTCACAGTTTGAATAGAACAGTTATTTCAAACTTCTCCAAGCAGAAAGATATGATAGTTATCTTTTTTCTATGATGGGCCATGCAGCTACTAGCATAATATATTAAGATTTAGATTTCCAAACAGCAGGATTGAATAGTTCCTAAAATTCCTTGACCACATATGCAAGAAATCGTAACTGATGTGCACAAGTTTGAAAAAATGACCAGTTAAACCCTGATATGTAAGTAAAACCTTTTTAAAAATCCATCTTCCATTAGTAACCTGCCTGTTTCACCAAGAAACTAAAATCTTTTTAGAATAACTCTAAAAAGTTGTTGTTATATATTTGAATAAAATTAATAGATTAGCATTATTTTGGGATAAAAGAAACAGGGAGTTGCCTAAAAGATGCTGGAAGAATATCAACAAAATATTGCTACAGCACTGATCAGGGCAGAAGCTTATTTAGCACACTACACAGCTTAAATAAAGACATTTTTATTGTTTGCAAGTCTAAAGTCAGGAGCCATAATAAAACAAATCTTTATTCTCCGTAGAGCACTACTACAAAGAAAACAGAGATATTGTGCATGATTAGTCTTATCGTACAGTAGAATTATGTCCCCAAATCTGCAATTATTCCATGAAGTGGTTTCAAGGTATCATCAGGACATTTGAAAACAGTCTTTTTCCTTCCTCCTTCTTCAACTTCCAAAATATTCCTCCCCTCAAAATGGTAGGACAGCATTTACAAACGAGTAGCACCAATATAAAGCAAAGCAGATGGGTAAGGTTCAACAGGTAAAAAAGTATTCTTATATTATAGTTGGTGGTAATTTTTCAACTTGGCTGAATCAAACACCTTTAAAAAGTTGTCATTTGCTCGCATCAATCATTTAATTGACAATGAAATGCAAAGTTTACTTTTATTAAAAATACAAAGCTTCTACATTTTGCCAATGTGTTTACTTTGTAATATGCTGCTTTTTCAAAGAAACATTCTTGACTGCACTTTCTCTTGGTACTTTGAAAAATACAGAGAATATGCCATCACACCAAAACTTAGCAAAAATCACCTACTGATAATGAAGATTTGTTACAACACTCATAATACTAGTGATTCCAAAACCACAAAGAACTGGTATTCACAAATTCTCCATTGTACTGAAAAAACTCTTGACGTATCACATTTCAGAGATTTCAGGTTTTTTTAAACAGTACGAGAAGCTTTATCTGAAGAAGAGAACAAGTTAGTCAGCAGATCCATTTTACCTTCAAAGAGGTCACTTACTAAATTTAGGACTTTTATTTCTTCTCCTCACGTGAGGACAGATTATCTCTATGACCTCAGAAGATGCAGCTGGATGACTTAAAATGTACATGGCCTTTTTGCATTCTCAGCTTGTACCTCAACTATTAAAATACAAAACATTTTCATAAAATTCTTTAACACTGGTGCCCATTCACTTACAATTTTCTGAATTAAAGTTTAAATTAATCTCTTCCTTTAAAGGGAGCATCCAACAGCTTCTAGATTCCTTTCTGATTTCTACAAAACCACATCATTTATGAAATAAACTGAATAGTCTATTTTAAAATATTCTAACCACAGAGTATTTTGCTTTGTTCACAATTCCCATATGGGACCGTAACAAAACCCAGATGTTGGCTGGCAAAATTTTCAATGAATATCCATAATCGTACTTGTCATAGTATATAAATCCTAACATTACTATTCATACATGCTTGGAAGTAACAAAGGAAACACACAGCATGGTGACCGGAAGCGTAATTGATACTAACAAATCATGTAACAATCTACTACATCAATGTCTTTAGCACTAACTTATCTTTTTCGTCTTCATCATGAGCTGAAGAACAGATTGAGGCTCACAATGTAGACATACAGATGCTTAGTTTAATGGATAACAAATGAAATAACAAAAGAGTAATAATAACTCAGCATTAGGCTGTTGCAAACAGCTGTCACGTAGAAGACAGAAGGTGAGAAGGTGTAAGGGCAAGCAGAGATTAAATCACTGAGAGGTGTTTGCAGTAAAACCTTTTACTAAATTCTGAATTATTGCAGGAACTTTGTACCCCATAATTGCAATGAGGGAACAAAAACAGTCTCCTACTTATATATTCCCTTAGCTTAGGATAGTTGCATATGGGGAAAAAAGCACGTTCTCAATCACCATAGCCTGAAAAGCATTGCTCAAAAAATTACATATCATGTACTATCGAAGAAAAGTGTTCTAACTTGAGAAGTCTTCCCAAATGAATTTTCAAGCTTGTAAACTTTGGAGTCTGGTAGTTGTACACTAGTTGTAAAATATGAAAACAAAAATCTGAGACTACGTTCAATTTACCCTAGTTTAAGATAGAGAAATTGTATATGAATCCATTAAGATCATAAACAGCGTAAATGGACTGAAAATATTACCAAAGCTAACAAAACCGACAACATAATGAATTATCTTAGTTGCAAGGAGTGCTCAGTTAAAAAAATAAAGAAACAAAATCTACAGAAAAACTGTGAAATCCACCCTGCGCATAGTTTAATTTTATCTCATTCACTTCATCTTAGAAAGGTACTGAATGCTGTGAACCGCATTTAGATGTGTATTTAATCTGAACTACTGTTAAAATTAATGACAAAGTCAGGTTTAGTACCAGCTCCTGCCTCTCGCTAATGTTAATAACTCTGGAAATTACATGCCTTTATTTAAAACAAGGAAATACACTTCCTGCTTTTGCTCTTAAACTTCCAAATAGAATTAGAAAATGGGCTGTACCTGGAGATAGAGAAACTAGTGCCGCAAATGCTGTCATAGAAATAAAACAAACAAGAACACGGTATTTTTTCTTCAACCTAGTTCGATTACTCTTTGGTGTTACGTCTACCAATAAAATGTACCAAATGCTTTACAAAAGTAGGATTTAACCTGATAGCCACCCATATTCACATATACATGTTTAGAAACATTTTGAAGGAAGGCAGAAGTAAAAAAATCCCAACCACAGAAGAGCAATTACCTTATGTAGTAAGACAATTTAAAAGATGCCATAGATTAGAAATTCAGATCTTTTTTAACCTGCTTTCTCTTGGAAAACTGTGAGTGGAAATCTACCATGATTATCATAAATACGAGCAATTATGAGCCAGTAAGAAATAATCAAAAAAAGGCTTAAAAATCTTATTTTCTTTAATTAGCAATGTAACAAAGACTTTGTAAAAATTCTGAACTTTTTTTCAGATTAAGGGATTGACAGAACAATGCACCAGGATTACACAGTTTATTGTCAGACCTTAATAAACTTGGGTTTTTATTCTCCTGTTTTTAAAGCCGTTTAAATCCTCCCAGAAAAAAATCTGCAAAATCAGCAAGAAACTCAAAAGCTGTTGACAGCTCTATGGTAGAAAATGAGCAGAAGGCACTCTTCATCAGAAAATATAAAGGGTATGTGTTCCATGTTATCTTTAAAATGATATTTAAAAAGGAAATTTCAGCATACTGCTGCAGAACTAAAAATTATCTCAAATTAAAACCAGCATATTGAAATTAAGTACTTAAGAGAGAACAGCACTTAAATAAAAAGTGACATATTGCGCACACATGATATGTTTTCAATTACAGCTTTATTTTTTTAAGTTTTCAAACAGGTAAACAATCCATGGTCTACATGCAAACCAAGACCTGAAAGTCAACAAAACATATAAATCAACCAATTATTTAACTATTTAGCTTTTGGAGTTCCCACTTCCCTATCACATTTTGTCTTCATCACTCCCAACTACCATCAATTATCTTAAAACACAGGCAGAATTTTGCTTGCCATTCTGAACAAAAGAATCACTTCTTGGTTGAGAAAAAGTGTTGAAATCGAACTAAAAAATCGTTCTCCTCTCCCTCTGAAATTTCTGTGATGCTTGAATGGCTTCCAGTTAAATAACTAACTACAATTATTATTGATACTACAGACTCTAGTCAGCTAATCTGTTAGAGGTTTTTAAGTCTAGTTTACATGAAAATATATTACTCTGCTTATCCATTTTAATTTAAATGAAAAGCAAGCATGTTTTATTGTCTTTTTAATCTAAAAATTTCAGAGCTATTCAGTAAAACAACAGAAAAGAAACTAGCTTCCTGCATCCTAGTAGAAGTTTACAAGACACGTGATCTAGATTAGCCCAAGAATCTAGCAGCGATATGCTTTGTAACAGCAGCAACTGGTGAAATGGCCTCTGTTTGAGGACAAAAGAAAAAAAACAAACTGCAACAAGCTCAGAAAAACACTTGTAAAAAACAATCAGCTCCAAGACCAATCAGCTGAGGATCATCAACAGGGCCCGCATAGCTTCAAGTGGGATAACAGAAGACATTATAGAAATGCCCATGATAAAGACAAGCTTACAGTAAATTTGAGTAAGGCAAAATTTAGTATTCATCCTGAAGCCTCTTTAGTTAAGCTCAAAGGTATGTTGAATACCAAGATAATAATCCAAGCAAAGAACATTGTAATAGCTATATTTTGCATAATCTTGCTATTAGAAAAATGTGATAGCAAAGATCCTTATGTAAGTTTTTAAACATACAAAACTACATATCAATGAACTGCAAAACAGCACAGATTGTAAATATCACTAATATTTGTAATTATTCAACACAATTTTGAAATCCAGTTAAGAAAACTTTATTCATTTGATATGAGCATAATTTGTAGTTGTTAAAGTAAATCTTACTATGAATCAATTCTAAAACTTAGAAAATTATACTGGAAGTTATAGCTACTGTATCCCCTTAACAGAAGTGTTAAACTAAAATATGACAAAACTGTGTGTTCCACACCTGGCTCTACTAAAAGTTTTAACTGAAGCAGACAAAATACGCAGCTGTATGTAATTCATAATCATTTAAACAGATGGATACCTTACTATTTATTTTCTTCTGTGATTTTTAAAAAGAAAAATATTATGTTTCATATAAAGATATTACGTACATTTTTAATGGCAACCTAGACAAGAAAGCTACTAAATAATTCATAGGTACAATACAACGGAAACACTGAATGGGAAATAATTTGGAAGTTTCATGTCTTCAGTTTGTCAGATCCCCATGACAGTTACATAAAAATATAGAGCACAGCAAACTGTCAACAGATAGCCTACAAGTTCTTTATGGCAAAACAGAACTTGGTCTTTTCTGAAGCTTAAACCCACTTCAGATCGCCTATGAAACCAATGCTTACATTAGCATATTCAAAAAAATCCCAACTCTATACTGTAATACCTCTACAGAGTAATTATGGTATTTTTGACAGGAAAACAACTTAAGTATAAAAGGAAGTAAACTCTCTTATCTTACATTTCTGTATGTAACATTCAGTTCAGCAATAACGTGTTCCAGTATTCCAGAGTAAGAGAAACTAGTACTGAACTCAAGGCATCAATTCAGAATGATTTTCATCTAATAGTTAAAAATCAGTTTTAGTAAAACAGTGTAATTAGGTACACATTACTCAAAAGCTACAGTGGGTGGAGAAGTAAGTCCAGAGAGCAGTATCTGAAGCTATGCTTAACAATTCAAGGGTTTCTACAATTCTGGAGCCCCTCATGAACATCTATGATTATGAAGCAGTTATAAGTTTAGAACTTACCTGGGCAAGTGAATTCCAAAACACCTCAAAAAGGATGATTATTGTAACCATAGAGAAACTCAAGTCTGAAATATTGTCTGTAGCAAGATCATTTAGAAAATACTACTTGGAACCTCTTCTCCTTTTTTTGGCTACTGGTACTGCACGATATACACACAGCTTTATTTTCTAAGTGGCTTCCATACCTCTACGGATACCAGATTCAATACTATTTTGCTGAAGAGAAGATAGCCCTACAAAGACCGTGACACACTGTCAAGACAGAACACATACTGAACACGCCCAAAGTGGAAGGGAGGGAATATAGCTCTTAATCATCTGTTACAACATAGATTTCTCACTTTGCTTTTCTTCAACCCCTACAAGTGGGATACAAATAAGTCATAGCTTGTAAGAAAATAGTGTGGATGTAAAGCATGGGAGAAGTTTCCTTATCATGTCAATAACTGCATAGCTTTGTACTTGTGGTATATTGTAACACGAAATATGGACCTTCAAGTCTTATAGCAATGTTATCATTACTCAGGTATTGTAAGAAGTAATTTCTCTCCATCCCACGTTTTTAAATGCAAACATTCTATGTCTGATGGTATGAAGCACTTTTACTTTACCAGTAAACTCTCACCTTACGGTAACCCTTCTCTCCCATCCACCCTTGAACATGCACAATCAGTTAAGCCATAGACTTCAACATTCCTGTCTAAATGAAAATGCTGATGCTTTTAAGTCTGCACAGAAACAATTCAGTTAAACATGTATGTTTATGGTGCATAGACAGAAATAATTTGGCTTTGTCTTTATAATAAAGAGATCCCACTCCTGGTATTTTTTTATGCCATTTAAGGGAAACATGCAAGAAGGTGACATTTCTGCGGATGCTTTTCAGAACCGAACCTGAGTTTATGAAATTACACCCACAGTAGGATTTTGGACGCTGATGCACAAACATGTACAGATCTGTAAAAACATCACAGTATTTTATGACTGTTCATTATGTAAGTTGAACTCCTTTTACTGGCTGGTTCTCCACTACAATATTACAGTATACAACTACTGAAGGACAATAGCATTTCAGACACTGCGAAGAACCAGAACTTGACTACATGGTGGAAACTGCAGTGCAAGGGGTCACTTGAATCTCGCTGGTATACTGATGTCTCACTTCGTTACAAAATTACTTCTCCAGCACTACTTTCTAGGATTGAGACTGCAATGGACACTGTACACCTTAGCTCTCCTCCAAGACATTACTGGGAAAAGAGAGAAATGCTTTTTGCTCTGGAGGACTACATACAGGAAGTCTGGCTTCCAGTCCACCTCCTCCTCTCACTGCTGGAGCAAAGACTGTGCAAATAGCATCAGATCAAACATTCAGGGCAAGGGCTGAGTGACAGGGACACAAGAACAGGAGTGGGCCAAGAAGAACAAGGTACAAGACCAGCAGTGCAGATCCAGTGGCAACACTGGCAATTAACACCACTTTAATATTACTTTAGGTGCTAAGTACACTCAAAGTGCTGATATCTAGCAAGGTTGCCCAGTACTATAGCACAACCCTTACATAAAGGCAACTTTAATTATACTGCAGACACAGTATTGTAAAAGGTGATAGTAATTAGCTGACCAGTTAAAAAAAAATTCACCATTTCTTGTTTAGTTGCACTATTCCTAGCTACTTACAACTTAACTGAAACCTCAAGTTTATTGTATTGCTTTAATTAGCATAATGGCATTTGGAGTAAAACTGTTAAGAACCATATGAAGAATTGAGGCAGTAACAGAAAGACAATCTTAAAAAATGTCTGCATGTAGTATGACTTTCATTTATCTACTACAGTGTTTCTCTCGCAGTATCATTAAAAACAAAACCGTTACTGTTAGATTTATTGGTATTACAATACTGTGATATGATTGAGGTTGTACTTCCGTAGTATGCTACTGTCTGGACTGGTCCTTATCCTATAACGTACCACAATCTCACTTCTGCCAACAACTATTTCTGGGGCCAGTAAACTGCACGTGCAGGATCACCTCGGCTAAAAATAATTTCCTTAAGTCCTCTTCCAGGGTTCACTGCTTTTTTTTCCTGGTGTACTAAACTTATTCACAGTGAAGAACTACAACGTGCTGTGCTAGCACATGGATGACATCAATATATTGCTGCATGCGATTAGGAGACAGACAATTCCTTAAACTCCTTTACTGCCAAAAACCCAATACTGTGGATGTCAAGCCTGATTTGTTAATAGTATCAATAAGTAAGTATCTGGAGAAGCTGAAAGCACTTCAGTATCATGAGCTTTCTCAGTGTAACACTAACTTTATAACCAATTACTCCACAGTAGATGTTTCTCTCTCCTTGAAAGATACACAGGTATTAGTTTCCAATCATATAAGCCAAAAGTACAGTCCACTGCCTCTTCCATACTTAAGAAATGCACGTAGCCTGAAAGCTGCTCCGGTTCAAACACAAGGGGGAAAAAGAAGGGAGAAATGAGCACCCCATTCTCAAAGTTTTAGTAATAACTTCCAAGTATGGAAAAAACAAGGAGGACATTCTTTCAGGCTTTCTGCATTACTGCTTGCAAACCTAACCCACTTTAGCTCAATTTTGTCCAACTTTTAACTGAAATTTCATAGAAACTTCCAGAGAAAGACATGCTTAAATAGCTTTTCTTGAATTTTATTCTAATTTTAATCCCTGAGTTTGTCAGCTATGAAAAAAAACTTCAAAGTTTCTTGAAGTTATTTTAAAAATTTTGTTCATCTTTTGTTTCTATTTATTGCTTTTAGGCCAACATATTTTGCAGGAAACCATGCTTTTAGTATTCTATTGCTCCCCTTAAGAATTTGCTTAATAAACTTATTTAACACTTCCCCTGAAACCAGGATAATGTCAACCTTTCCTCAAACAATGTATAAACTGCAAGTAACTGTCCCATTACAGTGTGCCTTTGTATCTCAGCCCACACCCCTATCCAAGAAGTTTGTACTGATGTCAGCAGTAACACATGGGCTAAACTTTTAAACTTGGACTTCCTTTTTTTTTTTTTTCCAGTAGAGCTAGAGAATACAACTATATCTATTTTAAATGAGCTCATTCTATGGTCTCTATATGCACTCCCAATCAAGTCATAAGAAAGCCTGTATAGTGCATTTGGGGTTTTATTATTATTTTTGCCGATAAAACATTTTTGTTGTCCTCGTTAAAAACAAAAACGCAGGATGTTTCTGGACCTGAAGTAATGAAAATATTCCTTGATCACATACATGCAACCACCTGCTCCCATCTTATCAGCTCTTCCCCTACTCCTTGTAGCAAACATCCAAGTAGTCAGAAGGATGGACTACTCTCCCATTTCCCCAGTAAGTATACACCTGGGGGTAAGAAGGTTAGGAAGAAGGGACTGTGTTTGGCTGATGAAGGAGAAGTGTTCACAGACAGGCTGGAGCATTATACTCACCTGGGGGATGAAGTGCTGGGTTGTTCCTGTCTTGGAGAAGATACCTACCTTACCTGGCTGTAGGTGGTGAAGATGCTTGTGGCAAGAAAGCGCCTGGGGCAGTCAGTGCCCCTTCTCTGTGGGCAGAACTGTGCCCGCTCCTGCCTCTTGCTTAGTGTGAGGGATACTTACCCATCAGGGATAGTATTCTTCTTTACCATGCTGAAGGCAGGAGCAGGCAGAGCAGGAGGCAGCGGTGAAAGTGGGCACTGCAGCAAAGGAGAGAGAACCGCGCAGTTAACACGGTGCTATTCTCTTTCTCCATCAGTGGGCCTTTTCACAGGGCTGACCCTCAAGTAAAACAAACCAAGCAGTCAGCTGGGGCTTGAAGCCATCCTGAACAAGTTCTGCAGCTTGCAAGCTAGCCTATTTTCTCCACTGCTACAGTACGACAAGAGGGAAAGACAACAACTCACCTCTCCTCTCCAGGAGATCAAAAGAAACAGAGAGGAGAGGCAGCAGGTTTCTCTCTAACTCTAGCAGCAGCGCTGCAGGGATGAAGATCTTCCTGGCAGTCCCTTCCGTCCCTCTCCTGTGGCTCGAGCAGTCTGTTCTGCCCTTGTGCTCGCACAGCTATAACTCTTGTCTCAACGAGAAGAAACTCCAGGCAGCTGCAAGAGGCGAGGCCGGCACCTCAGCAAGGGAAGGATCATCACCTGCCCCACTCTAACCTAGACGGGTCCGATCCCGCTAGACCCTGGACACCGTCAGGGCGCCCCCCGCCGCTCTCAGTGGGACCAGAGCAGGGAGGAGAGGGGCGAGGGGAGCTACCCCCCTCCGCGGAGGGCCCATGTCCGCCGCTCCAGAGAAGACGCTTGAGGCTGGCGTGAGGCTCCCTCCTCAAAGCCGCATGTCTCCGCCAACGCAGGGAGGCCCAGGGAGGGCCACCCCCCAC